GCTTTTTACCTTCATTTTTGAATGATTGTAAAGCTTACTAGTAATAACTTGGTTTCCTGTTCATCACTACCGTCAGTTGCTGTTGAGTTAACTGTGACTTTTGGCGATTCCATGTGTAGAACAGTGCTCCACAGGGTTTGTAATGGCAACTTGTTTGGTTTGGGGTCAAGAAGGCTTTTTTGCACTGAATTGGGTTGACTAGACTAGAATTCTCTTTAGCTCAGGAAGGAGGGCTAGTTCAGGTCAACCTGCTAAGTTGGGTGGGCAGTCCTGTCATGGGAGAGTAGCTGCTGTTATTGAGCACTTGTGCTCTACTCTTATCTCATTTAATCTTCACCTCAGCCCTAGGAGACACTATTATGGACATTTTTAACAGTGACTCAATTCAGTCCTATAAATTCTAACCATGTTTTTTTTTATTCTCCGTACCTCTGTAGGAACTTGGTATGCTGACTGTCCAGAGGAACAAAAAGGTTGACCGTAGTGATCAAGGTCAAAGCTAATAGCCAGATGAGTCCTGACCTCTGCCCTTGCTCCAGCTTTGACATATTATCTGTTGCCTTTTTTTTGCTGCTGCTTCCACTTGTAAAATGCCTTTCATTTTCTGTCTAGGTTAAAGCTAAACTGAGTTAATGGCTTTAATTAAATTAAGAGCCTAAATTCCCTAGCTTAAGTGTAAATGAAGTAGTTTCTCTTCTTGAACCTTTGCTTATTGTATCCCTAGAACCTTCTAGAATACTCTATCAAATCTCTTCCGGTTGGGAGATGCAGCCACCACAAACTCCTCGGATCATACCATTTTGAATAAATTTTCAAATCCTTACCATTCAAAGTTGTTTGGAGTTCTGTTTTAGGGTACAAAACCTAAAGACCATGGTGGAATAAGGCATCTTCTTGAATGAAATACCATTACGTAAAGAAAATTTTTAACGTAAAACTGAAGCAAGTCTACTTCTCTTTAGGCATCTTGGGATTTAACACATCTAAGGATCTCTTTAAAGATGTGGCTTCAAGTCTTTCTGAAGCTCAAATTTCTCCTAAGGACAAGATCTTCTTTCCAATCCCTTGTTGGCTATTGCAAAATGAAGGAAAAGCATTATACATCTCTTTTCTCTTTTTCACTCAGATACTCTTTTCAGTTAGTTTTGCTCCTGGATTCATATAACATCACCTCCCTTTCACATGCACCAGGATTGTATGGGAAAAAATTCTAATGATTCACAGATCCGGAGCAGCTCTGCCCTTTTGGTAATTGCTAATCCTAATAACTAGAATTGCAAATGGGCACCTTTCTTCATCCTGTGGACTAGGTAGTCATCCTCTTGAGCTGAAGTTCCAGAAGAGCAGATAATGTTGAAGAGAAACTGAAGTCAACTCAGCAATGAAGGACTATATTTGGAAGAGCAACACATCACAAAGCTAAACGTGATTGTGCCAAACATGAGGTGCTTATGGGGTCATGCTAGGCCTTTATCAAGTAACTGGAAAACTTTCTTGAAGCCTCTCTCATAATTAATAGGAAGACAATTGGGGGGGAAAAAAAGCCATAGGATAAGTATTTGATATTATCATTTGAAATATAATGGCTACAAATTTTTTCCCCTAAGCTTGGAAACTTTCACATCATGTTCAGTCCTGTTGTTAGCACACGTTGAAGAGTATGTTCTTGCCAAAATGAGTTTTGTTTATTGTTTCTGTTTTTTAATGTTAGGGGTTTTATGGGTTTTTTTTGTTTTGCTTTGTTTTTAATGTTGTCTCTTGATCCTTAATGCTCAGGTTCTTGTGGGTATTAGTCAGCCACAGACAGTGTTATATTTAGATGGAAGAAGAGGGTAACTGCTCAGGATCTAAGCAAGATGTGGCCTCATGAAGCTCTATTGATTAGCCCTCAGTAGTCCAAGCTAAAGTCCTATGATTTTCTGATTAATGATAATAGCTGATTATGTATGGCATAGTTTTCCATCTGGCTTCCGACTCAGTCATTATAAACACATACTTGAAGTCATATTTTAAATGTCCAAATAGCTAAATGTGCTAGAGTAGAGGCAACTGTTCCTAGGTAACTGAATTTTTGAAAGTAGATAAAATTCAGCCACAAAACTATTTTGTACATACTTATTTTCTCTTGTGCACTTTTCTGTATGCAAGTAAAACTATAAATTTACTCATTTCAATAAACTGGAATGGCAGAATCTCATGTGTTACCACTGATTTATTCCAATATTTTACGCTTGCTTTGGCTTGATATTAAAAAGGAGTTCTCGTGGTGTAGTGGTTAAAGGCATTTGGCTGCTAACCCAAAGGTTGGTGGTTTGAACACACCAGCTGCTCTGTGGAAGAAAGATGAGGCAGTCTGCTTCTGTAAAGATTGACAGGCTTAGAAACCTAGTAGGGGTCACTATGAATCAAAATCCACTGGATGGCAGTGAGTTTGTTTTTTTGTTTGTTTGTTTGTTTCTTTGTTTGTTTTTGGTTGACATTAGGCACAAGTAAAAACACACCATTTTAATGTTAATCATAGTATGTTAGTTGTAATGTATTATAAATGTTAATTATAATGTATTCTGGGTTGTCACAAGGATGATAAGGTAAAAATCCATGAAATGGAACCATGAATAAGTAGTCATCTAATCTCTTTCGACATCTTGCTCTCTTCTCAGCCCCACACATGCTCCCTTCTAGGGAGTTGAATGGAATCTAGTGGATAAGACCTAGTGCTACTCTGACAAGAATATACCACAAATGGGATGGTTTTAACAAACAGGAGTTCATTCTTCCAATTTGGAAGCTTTAAGTCCAAGTTCAAAGTGCCAGGCTCCAGGGGCTGGATGAAAGCCCCTCAACCTTGGGGTCCAGCTCTGCCTCCTGCTCCCGGCCCACTGGAGCCAGAGGCATTTCTTCCCTCAGACAGCTGCTGGCTGCTGAAGCTGAGGAGCCCCAAGGTTGACAAGTAAAAAGGCACAGTCCCGATGTTACCAAACCACACAGCAGGCCATTAACTTAAGTCCATTGTAAGTCCCAAGGTCAACAGAGCATAGCAGGCTGCTGAGCAATGACACGGCTACATGCAGAGTCCAAGTATGCCATAGGCTAGAGACCATTCCCAAGGCTTCTCCTTAAATACAGGAAGCAGACCACATCCCAAAGGCAGCTTCTCCGCTGCTTGTGGTAGATCCCACCATGGAGTTGATTGCTAGTATCATTATGGGGAATAACTACCACCAGCTGCCCAGCCACTCAACCAGGCCCAGCGAAGTTGACACACAAATATAACTACCACAGACATCAATAGACATTCAGTATAAAAACCATTCATGAGTGCATGTTTGGTTCACACCTTCTACACTTTGCCTCCCCTTGTTCTTCATTTAGTCATATTTGACCTCCTCCACTAAAACAATTTGTGGACAGGTCCAGTCTGGTGCAGGCCACTCATGAGAGGTCATGTTTGGGATTTTTCATAGATGGTCCACAAGGCAGGCCTTGCTTGGATGTAGAAGTCTTGGTGTTAAACCAGACTTTAAAGAGTAAGACAAACTCAACTTTGGGAGGACAAAAATTCAAACCTTGTTGCTGTTGAATTGATTCTGACTCACAGCAACCCTAGGACAGAGGAAAAACTGCCTCATAGGCTTTCCAAGGCTTTTGTAAACCTTTAGGAGGCAGACTGCCACATCTGTCTCCCAGAGCAGCTGGTAGTATCAAGCTGCTAACTTTTTGGTTAGTAGCCAAGTGCTTAACCCCTGTGCCACCAGAGCTACCCTTTGGAGAACAGAGGTCATCGA